GGCTGCTGTAACACATTGCCATGACTCAGAAGTATGAAATCATTATCACTGGGCCAAAATCAAGGAGAATCTGTTCTTGCCTGTCCAGGATTTGTTGACTCATAGCCACATCATTCTAACTCCAGGCCAGCATCTTTAAATCTCTCTCTGCTCCATCTCACACCCACTTCTCTGTGTGGTGTCATATCTCCTTCTGCCTCTCTCCTGCAAAGACATTTGTGATTAGATTTAGGCCCACCTGGATAATCAAGGCTAACTGCCCAGCTCAAGACCCTTAATTTAATCACATCTGCAAAACCTCTGTCAAAATAAGGTAACATCCTCGGGTTCCGGAACTAGGACCTGATATCCCTGGGGGGCGTATTTGGCCCAAATGCCCCAATTCTACTATTCTTCAGAAATAATTCACTAAAGCTCTGTCTTGTTTTCTCCAGACACTTGGGCATGTATGTAGCCCAGTACCTGGAACAGGGAGGAAGTCAATACACGTTTGTTGAGTAAACAGAAGTGGCTCTAACTAGGAGTAGGGAAGGAAGCAGTACAAGAACATGAACACAGAATCTGAAAATTGTGGGAAGGAATCATATTTGGATGTCATGTTAAAGAATTTGGACACTGTCCTGTAGGCAAGAAAGAGCTTGTATGAGGTCCTTGCACAGGGTGACTCATTCATTCATTCAATACTCAACAGCAATGTGCAGGGCTCGGCTCTGTGGGGGGTTGAGGACAGGTTTCCTAGAAAAGAACATATTGAACAGCTAGCTCTTTCTTCCACCAGAACTGGGTTTTAATAAGTTCTCCTACTATTTCTTTCAACAGAGTCTCACTCTGTTGCCCAGACTAGAGTGCCATGGAATCAGCCTAGTTCAACTACAATCTCAAACTCCTGGGGTCAAGCGATCCTCCTGCCTCAGCCTCCTGAGTAGCTGGGACTACAGGTGTGAGCCACCATGTTCGGCTAATTTTTTCTATTTTTAGTAGAGACAGGTCTCGCTCTGTCTCAGGCTGGTCTCTAACTCCTGACCTCAGGTGATCCTCCCACCTCAGCCTCCCAGAGTGCCAGGATGACAGAGTTCTCCTACTATTTCTAACCATTATTGCTGTGTTTGGTGTCTAGATTTTCTGGCACATTCAGATTTACGACAATTAAATTTTTGTGGACTGTATCTGGCACCATTATTACATCATACCCCTTTTGTTCCTGTGAATATTTTCTGCCCTGAATCCTGCCTTATCCAATATTAATTTGCCATTTTTTAAAATTTTTCTTTTTGAATGTTCACTTTGAGCTTCTGTTTGTCAACATTTTTGGTGTGTTTTTTGTAAATAGCACTTACCTGGATTTTGATTTTTACCCCAATTTTACAGGCTTTGGATGGAGAATTCAGTCCATTCACATAATGAAAGCTGACAGCCTTGGTCTTACTCATTTCATCTCATTGCATGTGTAATTTTATGAAGCTGTGCTCTTGCTGCTATTTCCCCTTCCTCAATTTTGCTTCCTTACTGCTTCCCTCCCCCCAACCCGCCTTCTACCCGTTGACTCAGAAGTCCCGCTCTGCTCCTTTTCCGCCAGCTGCTGCTTTCCAGTTCCTGACAGTCGCAGGCAAACTGATATCTCCTTGTGAATGTATTAAAAGTAAGTGTAATGACTTCCCCTACCAGGCTTTCCTGCAGGATAATACGAATTTTGCTTATAGTACGCAGTTTATGTTTCCAGAATCCTTACTTGGCAATTATAGTAGAAAATCACAGGCACATTCAGAGGAAACCATACTGTATATTTTGCAAGGTTCACTGCTTACCACAGTTTCCTGTTCTGGGCATCTGCTCTAGCTTGAGATCTCCGCTGTGATTGACCATCCTGGAGAAAGGGGAACTCTGTGGGTATTTTCCTCTGAAAGGGAACATGGCTGCGGGCCTCTCTCTGTCTTGCCAGGGTGGGTATTTTCTTCCCTTTGTCCTGACAGATGAATCCCACTAGCTGGAAAAGAGTACTTGACAATATAATCAGAGTCCCTGGACATTGTTCCAAAGTCCTGTAGGAACCTAATACCACTCTGACCCTCCTTCTCTGTAGGTGACCTGTTTGTTCTTGAACTCTGCAAGATTTTCTCTTTATCCCTGCTTTCTGCGCTTCACACACAGCTTCAGCCCAGGGGCATTTTCTTCTAGTATTTTGTTCATCTGTTTCCCTTTCAGCTCTTTCTGGACTTCCTGTCCAGATGATATATCTCCTAGAACTGTCTTCTGGGTCTCTCCTTCTTTTCCTGATGGTATCCATGTGTTTTTCTACATACTATATGGTATTTATTCCATATTAGCTTCCAGTTTGCTAATTAGTCCTTGCCTCCACTGTTCTCTTTCTGAACTTGCCTATTGCTTTTTCAGTTTTTTGGCCTGTTTTGTTTTGTTTTGTACTTTTTTTGTAGAGACAGATCTCACTGCATTGCCCAGACTGGTCTGGAACTCCTGGCCTCAAGCGATCCTCCTGCCTGGGTCTCCCAGAGTTCTGGGAGCCACCTCACCTGGCTACTCTTTTAGTTTTTAAGCTTCACGGCGGATGTGAAATGTTCCTGTGCTCTGAGGATTTGTAAGCAGTTTTGTGCATTTTTGTTGAATTCTTCTCTTCTTTTAGTGTTCTCCAAGAGGAATTGTTTAATCTGTCCTCTTCCCTCTGCTTACTGAGGCCCCTCAGGGGGTTTGTGAGGAGTCTTAGCCTCTCTGGGGCTGTGTGGTCAGTGCCCTGAGGACCAGGCTATGTGGGCTCCTGGGCAGTGGCCAACCAGCAGGTGGTGGCTGACAAGTTTATCCTCTCTGCTCTCAGACTCGCAGGTTGAGCAGGGCTCATCTCAGGATGGGCTGAGGGAGCTGCTCAGGTGAGCCCCCAGCCCTGGAGCCAAAGGAGAGGATGGGGGTAATGACGGGTACTTTGAAAATAAAAGAAACTCATCTAATTGGTTTTCAAAGAGTCTCTAAGTTCCACTAGCATGAAGCCTCAGGCTAACTGCTTTCTTTTAGCTTATGTATATTGTTTGTTTTTAGGAAGTTTGTTTGAGCAGGCTGATCGCAGTAAATTTTGGGATGAAACAAAAGGGTAAGTGCATGGACACAAGGGGCCAACCAATCAATGTAAAGGGCCAGCGCGTGGACAGGTTCTGCACCTAGGACATAAAGGGCTCGGTCCCACAGTGCGCCGGGTCTTTGTTGGAATAGAGGCCGCTGTGTCGGTGCTCTGGGACTTGGACCCTAGCTCGAGTTAGTCAATAAATCTCCTTTTGATGATTTCAGCCTCAGTGACCCTGTCTCTTTGTTCTGTGGTCCTACGGTCTCCCGCTCTAACACTAGATGAATAAGAAAGCAAATCCTTCTCAAGATTAAGAAGCATGAGATGTCCAATCTCATTAGTTACCACAGAAGTGCAGTTGCAACTGCAGAGGCCATTTGTAGTTTTCATATTGGTAAAGGATTAAACAAACAACAACAAAAAAGAATTCCCAATCCAGTGTGTGCCCTCTCAGAGGAAACTACTGTGAGAAACTTGTTTTGGTAGAATGTATCTATAGTTCTGAAAAAGCCACTAGGATCCAGGCCTTCTGCTTCTGGGACTCGCCCTAAGGACATAGTCATACAAGTGTACTCACACTGACTTTTGGAAACCCTTTCTTAAATATGCATAGGCCCCCCAGATGTGAGCAGTGACAATCTTTGAGTGAATTTTTTTCTTCTTTCTACTTTCTGTAATTCTCCATTTTTTTTTTTTTTTTTTTTTTTTTTTTTTTTTTTTTTTTTTTTTTTTTTTACAATTGAGTGGAAAGAAGTCTTTTCGAAGTTTGGGCAAATAACTATGTCTGAGCCTCAATTTTCTTATCAATTAAATGAGCCCAATGCCACTTGCCTCCTTGGGTCGCTAGGGATGAAATGGAAAACCTGGATGTGTGAAACATGTGAAGGTGCTCAAACCAACCTTGGCAAAGCTGGGGCTGCCCAGGGCTGGACTCCTTCCCCCTCTGTGAGCCTCACAGAGTTACATGGGAAGAGGGGAAGGGGCTGTGGAGGCAGCTGGACAATCAAATGAGGTGACTGCCACTTTGACAAAAGTCCCTAAGGTAGTGTGTACAGTGGACAGAACTCATCCTCCAAAACCTCTGGAATATTTGTTCCCAACATGTTAGTAAGTGCTATCCCTGGCAGTCACTCTGAGCTGCAGTTTCTGCAGTGACACCTAGGACAGGTTCCCCAGGGGACCAGAGATATAGCAGACAGGGCCTGAAGTCACAGGATAGACGTGCACTCTCATCTCCAAACCACGCCTCTCAGGCACCCCAACAGGACAGAAAGAAGAGGGTTCCAAACTGCCTGAGCCTTGCACCACTGCCTGGGCTAACATCTACTTTTAAATGAATCCCACAATTACCCTGTGAAAAGCTTGCTACGTTGCATTTTGTGCATTCGAAGCAGCACTTGGCTGCAGGTACACACTTAGATGGGCCAAGTTTTCCATCCCTGCTGCCTATCAGGGGAGCCCTCTGTACCTCTGGCAGCGCCGGAACCCAGGAGGCGCTCTAACGTGTCGTTAATAATACCACAGCTAGCGGAACGAATCTGGGGCCCCTGGGGCGCAGTGGCCGGCCAAAGGCCAGAGGCTTGTCCCCGTGTCCTACCACCTGCTGCAGGCTGCGGCGACCCGCCTCTCCAAGCGGCCGGTCGTCCCGGGGCGGGGCGGGGCGGGCCGGCGCCCGAGTCCGCTCGGAAACTTCCGCTGTGGGCGGGCGGCCCCGCCCCGCCTCCCGCCCCGCCCGCGCCCCCCCGCCGCTCCGGGCCCGCTGCGCAGGGCCGAGCGAGCCGCAGCCGGCGAGGCGCACCACGATTGGCGGGGCGCGGTGATTGGCGGGCACGCCGGCCGCTCAGCGGGCCGAGCCGGCGCCGCGTCCTGGGGCCGAGTCCCGAGTGGCCGGCAGGGCGGCCCCGCCCCCCCCCCGCCCGCCCGCGCGCCCGGTCCGCGCTCGGCTCCCGCGGCCGCTCCTCCGCCGGTGTCTCCGGCGGCTCCCGAGCGAGAGGCCCGAGGGTGTCGTGGGGCCGCGCGCGGCGCACTCGCGGGCCGGTGAGTACTTCGGGGCCGGGGGCGGTCGCGCGGCGGCTGTGGGCAGCGCGCAGGGGCTGGGCAGAAGCTGCCGCCCGTCTCGGGCCTCAGTTTCCCCTCTGAGCTGATAGTGGCTGGTCCCGAAGCCCTCGGCAAGTTCCCCGAAGTTGGAGGGCCGGGGGTCCGGCTCGCTGCGCGACGTCCGGGGAGACCCCTGGCCGGGTCCTGCCCGGGGTCGTGGACGCCGCGACCCGAGCACGTCCGAGCCGCGAGCCTCGGCGCGAAGCCCCGTGCGGGCGGGAAGCAGGCCCTGAGGGCGAGCAGCCGGCGGGCTGGGCCGGCGGTGGCAGGCCGGTCCCCTCCCGCGCCCCAGCACCCGCCCGCCCTGCCAGGTGCGCCGTCATGCCCTTCCCCCACGGCCATCGGAACCCAGGGCTGCCCTTCCCCTGTGCCCGCCGTGCCCCTGGGAGGTGTCTGGCCCCCAGGTGGCAGCGCGGGGATGGGGTTCAGTCCCAGGGAGACCCGGCCCACCCGAAGGGCAGCTTCTGAGTCACGCTGAACCCGCACAGCCCACTTAGCAGCTCTGTGACAGTTCCTCCCCTGCTCTGGGCTCCTCAGTATGGCGGGTGGGTGCAGCCCCTAGACCCTGCCTGGTGTGAACCCCGCCCTGAGATGAGCCTAGCCCTGGGGATCGTTAATTTTTGATTTGATAGATGGAAACTTTCTGGAGAGTCTGACCCAGCCCTTTCCGGTGCGATGGAGTCCGGTCCTCCCACCCCAATTTTTGTAGTTGATGTTATGAAATTCCAAGGAACTAGCATTCGCACAACTCCCCCACCCCCATATTTAACCCTCAAAGTAGTCTTAGGGGTAGGAGTTATTGAGGAAGCTGAGGCTCAGCGGGGTTTGGTCCTTGCCCAGGACCACGTATCTGTCCTGGCAGAGCCTGGTGCCAAACCTCTGCCTCCCTTCTCCCCAGAGTGCTCCGCCTCCCCTCACCTTGGACAATGACCCCTGGCATTTGGCCCAGGGCTTCACAGTTTGTAAAGGGCTTTCCCTTCTGCCAGGATCCATCACTCACTCCCAGAGCTGTGCCCTGGGTACCCCGTGTGCTGGCTGCCTCTTCTCTGCAGCGCCATGAGGGACCCCACGGGGAGCTCAGAGACCACCCTTTCCACTGCCCCCTCCTGTTTACTTTTGTCTCCAGGGGGCTGTGATCCCCACATGAGCCCCTTTGTGTCTGACCAGGATTTAGGGTGACGTTGCTCTATATTCCAGCCCCTTTCCTCCTGCCTGCCCTACTGTCCTCCCCCAGGCACAGGAAAGGTTGGCTGAGAGACCCATCTCACCTCCTTCCTCAGGATGGGAGAGTAGGGGTGGTGGGGGCTCCCTGACTTGGGTCTCTCTTGCCCATCCCAGCCACGGCTGGACAGGCCTTAGAGGCTGGTCCCAGAGGAGAATGCCAGAAACACCTGCTTTGCAGCACGGACCCGAAACACCTGTCCATAATGTTGGTGATGAGCATCCTAATAGGGGCTTTATGCTTTGTAAAGCACCTTCCCCTCCCATTCCCCCCCTTAGGAATTGGCACCACCACTGCAGCCCCCAGCCACAAACCAGGCCACCCCCTGCACTCCTCATTCCTCACATCCAGTAGGTGCTCTCCTGGCTCCCCTGGCTCCCAAGCCTCACTCAGCTGTCTACTCTTGTTCAGACCTGTAGGGCCACCAGCCCTCCCTGGTCTCCCCAACCTTCTCCTGTCCCCACGCAGCCCTGATGGTTCCTTAACTGCCACTTCCTTCTGCCCTGTAGGGTCAAGTCTGCCTCCTAAGCTGGCACGAGTTCTGGCCTTTGGGGACCTGCTCTGTGGCTCACTCAGCCTCTTCTCTCCTTCCTGTGTCCCCTCCCCAGTGGTCATGTCCTGGCCACCTGCACTTTCCTAACCACATTGCTAGCTCGTTGTCCCTCTGCCACTTCTTCTGGGCACATTCCGTGCTGAAATGCCCAGATGCCTCCCCCTGGCCCTTGCCTGCTGCTGCCTGCTTGTCCTGAAGGCTTGGTCGAGGTCTGCAGAATTCCTGGCCTGCCCCTTGCTCGGTTGAGTGAGGCCTCTCCGCTGGTCCATGTGGGTGTCTGTCTGGGTGTTGCCCACTCTCAGCCTAGACCAAACTGCTCAAAGGCCAGCCCTGGATGAGTCCTCTCTAGGACGAGGTGACCAGTACAGTGCCTGGCACAAGATAGACCCTCAGTCCGGGCATGGAGCAGGTACCAGGTGTGCAGTAGGGGTTTGGCCATGCCGGCTGTCACTGTTGCTATCCGGGACATTCCCAGATCGACTCCCTCTGTTAATGTGCCACAAGGAATGTGAACATGAGTGGAGCTGGAATGTTCCTTCATTTGGCCCTTAATACTCTGTGCAAAAATAGGTACCTGGAAGCCACCAAGAGCTTTGTGCCCTTATCTTGAGGAGCAGCCCAATGCCAGGGGGCTGGGTCAGGCCAGGCCAGAGCAGCCATCACAGGCCCAGGACCTACTGGGTCCCACTCCTTTAGGGCTTGGTCACAGATGGGTTTTAAAATAACATTTTGCTCTAATTCCAAAAACATTACACACTCACTGTAGATAATTAGGGAAATACATTTAAAAGAAAAATAAATAAAACCACCCATAATCTTTACTCAGAGACAGGAAGTATCTCTTGGGGGGCCTTTTCTCCCATCTTCTTCTGCAGATAACTTTTGTTTTCATCCTAAACAGACTCAGGATAGTATCTTAGGCTGTTTTAAATCTTGCTTTAAGAGTGTTATACAAACATGCTCCTTGTGTTTAAACATTCATGTGCAAAGATCGTGTTTAACAGCTGTGTAGCATTATGCCACCTGCAGGGGTAAGCTTTATAACCAGTCCCTCTGGACAGTGCTGACAAGTGCCTTGTGATGGTCACCCTGTGTGCGAGCCCTGAGGGCACCTCTGGTGACTCCCCTAGGCTGGCATCCTGCCAAAGGCGGAGACACCGGTCTGGGGGAGCGTGGACATCTCGGCGTCCCTCGGGGGCCTATTTCTGAGAAGCTGGCTGGGAGGTGGGGCTGCTCCCAGAAGAGCAGAACAGGGTCGGCCTGGGTGAGGGTCAGGGCTTTGGACAGAAGGCCACGTGAGGTCATTCTCCTTCTGGCCTCAGCAGATATGTGGCCTGTGCAGCTCTCTCCCGGGGTGGCAGCCTCCAAACCAAGCTTCTCGGTTCTGGCTTTGTGATTGGATGGGATAAAAATACGTGTGGGTACTCATGGGGAAAGAATGCTGGCCACTTTGCTTTTTTGGATCTTACATGATGATGGGTTCCAAGTCACTGCTCTGGTCGTCAGGGGGCAGTTGGGGCTGGCTGACCCAGCGAGTGGGGCGCTGGGGTGGGGAGGTGCAGAGCGTGGGTGCAGCCAGGTATGCCGGATGCGGTGACATGGGGGAGGGACTTGCTTAGGGTCACACAGCAGCAGCATTCCCCAGATAGTGCTCCTAGGCCAGGCTGCCTCAGCCTTCCACCCTGTACACATCAAGTGCCTAATATGTGCCCAGCAAGGTAGCAGGCATTATGAGATGCAGGCCCTGCCCTCAGGTCTCCATGTCATAGGCAGGACTCAGGACGAGATACCCTGCAAGCCCTTGCCGGGGAGCCCATTTCTAATCTTTGTTGTCCCTGTGACTAACCACAGCCAGGAGTCATTTTGTTCTGAAATAACAAGCCCTTTGATCCAAACCAGGCCTGGCCAACCCTCAGGGAGCCCGAAAATTAATCCTCCTGTATTCATCTGTTCTTACTAACCAGAGATTTTACTTTAAACAGTTTTATTTTGAGTGTAGGGTGATGAGCATAGTACTTAGCCCAACAGACCAGCTATAAAAGAATCTGTTTTCCTAAAATTCCTTTTATGAAGTGTTTTGCAACTAAGCATGCCTTTATTTAGCATCTGGGAGTATTGACTTAGGGCTTTTTTTTTTTAACACCTTACAGTTTGCCAATTGCTTTCTCTTCCATCATGCCCTTAATTTCATAGCACCCCTAAGTGGGATGTGTTGTCCCCATTTCACAGGTGGGGAAACAAAGTGAGGTCCAGGAGCTACTAGTAAGGGGTATTTCACTCCGCATGTTGCTTCTGGCTGTAAAATTGCCTCCTGTTGGCCAGGTGGGTGCTGTACTCACACACCTCTCACACAGGGAGGGCTCGGGTGGGGGTGGGGAGGTGACAGCCTGAGTGCTGTGCGTTTACCTGACCCCCAGGACTTAGATGGGCAGCTTGGAAACTCCTGCAAAGGAGGTGTCTCTTGAGCTCTTGACCTGAAGGGTGTTTAGGCTCTGGACTGGGGAAGGGAGACAGGAGGGCAGAAGGCACCGAGACAGAAGTGTGGTAGTCAGCAGTGGCACGTGGTGCTGAAGAGTGGCCAGTGTTGTGGAGTGAACAGACCGGGAGGCTCACAAGGCTCAGCTGTGCTTTTGGTTTGCATCTGGGCGATGTTTTAAAATAAGGGCTGAGTCCGTCTGAGGGAGGAATGTCCAGATTGAAATCTGCAGAGTCCTTGAGTGGACACAGATCTGATCTTTAGGGCCCATTTAGGATGGAGCAGAAATTGTTGTGTAGGGAGCCTGGGGCCGCTTCTGGTTCTTCCAGTGGCCACGGTCCCCAGAAACGTCCCTTAGGCACCTGCTGGGGCAAGGCTTGGTGCTAGGTCTGGGTGTTCAGAGGTGGCCCGCACCCTGGCTCCCTGGTACAGCTCATGGTCCCTGGTCTCAAGGCTCACCATCGTTGCCCCTGGGAGTGATGGTCCCCATCACAGCTGAGGGGCAGAGGGGGAGGAGGCCTGTCAGGACCACACAGCTGGCGGGCACAGGTTCGTGGCACGTTGGGGCTAGGAGCAGATTTTTAACTTCCAGTCTCCCCCTTCTCTGAAGCACCAAGGATGGACATAGCCTTGAGTTTGGGGAGGGTCATTTGGGAATCTGAGGAAGAGTTTCCTGTGCCCACACAGCACGCGCGAGGTCCGACAGTTTCACGGTTGCCCCCACACAGAGCATCGGGGCCTGGGGCTGTGGTCCTCCAGAGCTGTCAGCTGCATGGTCTGTGGCCCATGGCTGCCCTTCTGCCCTAAATTAGGTGGATGGTGGTGTTTTTCCATGTTGCTAAGCAGCACGTGAGAGCTCTGTATTGAATAAAACAAAGCCCTTTCCCCTGTCCTGACACGTGTCAGAATCTCTGTGCACTCTAGTCTGTTCTAACCCAACGCACTGTGTGCCTTAGTTTGCTTTTTAGTATATATTGATATCTGGGGCATCGAAGTTCTGTGACTTTTGTCCTGTGTTTTGGGCCTGGCGTGGAGGGCTCTGGACTGGGCCGATCTGGATTTTGGCTCCCCCAGCCCAGCTCCCCTGGCTCCCCCAGCCTCCTCTCCCCCAGTCTACCCTCCCCTTCTCACATTTATATTTTATTCTGCACCTGTGTATTCGTTTCCTAGGGCTCCCATAAGATTACTAGAAACTTGGTGGCTTAAAACAACAGAAATTTATTCTCTCATGGTTCTGAAGGTAGAAGTCCAAAATCAAGGTGTAGGCAGGCAGGATTGGTCCCTTCCTCTGTCTGGCATCTGGTGGTGGCGGGCAGCCGCCAGCACAGCTGCACCACTCCAGCCCTCACACGGCCTTCTCCCTGCCTCCGCTTCCCTCCTCTGCGTGCAGGAGCACCAGTCACTGGATTTAGGGCTGCCCTAATCCAGGACGACGACATCTCAAGGTCCTTAATACATCTGCAAAGCCGTGCTTTTCCAAATATGGTCAGGCTTACAGATACTGGTTGGCACATCATTTGGGGGCCCCTTTCAGCCCCCCACAGCCAGGCGCTGTGCTCAGGGCTCCACGTGATGACCTGTGGGCGTTGTCATCATCCACATTTCTCAAAGACACCAAAGCAAGGTCACATGGCTCTTGTCCAGTTAGGCAGGGATTCCAGGCCTCGAGATGTCAGGGCCTGAGACCATAACTGACGTGCGATCTGTCTAGCTGGGTGCTCTGAGTGAGTGAGTGTCCTCCCTTGGTTTCCTCATCTGGACAGCGGGGCTAGCCCTGGGGACGGGCTGCGGTGGGCTCACGTGAGATCCCGTAGGAGTGGTCCCTTGCTTCCTCTCTCTTTACCAAACAGCAAGAGCTGGAGCTGGTTGGCCTGCTCCATTGCTAGCCCTGGCTTGTGTCTGACCATGGCTTTTCTTGCAGATGGACTCCAGCGCCCCTCTGCCGGGCCCCTCCCAACCACAGGCCCCACCAGCCTCGCAGCCCCAGGCCCGCTCCCGGCTCAATGCCACTGCCTCAGTGGAGCAGGAGGACAGCGAAGCACCCCGAGCTTCTGGGGCCCAGGCTGGCCCTGGCCCAGGTGTGGGAGATGCAGCTGCCCCAGCCGAGCCCCAGGCCCAGCGCACCAGGAGCCGAGACAGAGCAACTGGTAAGTGGTGGGGCGGGAAGCCCAGGCAGGGCTGTGTAGGGAAAGCAGGGTGGGAAGAAGCCCAGCCACCCTGCGTCTTCCTCCCACCGGGTCCCCTGCATTTTAGGGCTTTGTAGCTCCTAGCAAGTATGATCAGGGTCTGCTGTGGGGCCACCCGCTTTCCTCAGGGCCTTTCGCCTTTTACCTGCATGGCAGGTGCAGCTCCTCAGGGCACCGGTAGACTCTCCCGAGTCTGGTGAGCAGGCACCTCTCCTCCCCTCCTCCCCCATCAGCCCCTCCCGGCTCCTGTGCAGCACTTTATAGTGTCTGGTGTTTGGGTTATTTTTTTTTCTTGAGACACAGTCTCTCTTGTGACCCATGCTAGAGTGCAGTGGCGTCATTGTAGCTCATTGCAGCCTTGAACTCCTGGGCTCAAGTGATCCACCTGCCTCGGCCTCCCAGATGGCTAGGATTACAGGCGTGCGCCACAGTGCCAGGCCTCGCAGTTTCTGCTTGAGGCCGTGTTCCGTTTGCTGTGGAGTGAATTCCTTGGGCTGTGCCTGGCCAGGGTGGCTGGCCACAAAGAAGACAGCTGCACTTTTGGGGATAAGGCCTGGTTTGGGTGAAGTCCTCGGTGCTGGATTTCTTCTCTCCCAAGGAGGCGTGTGGGTGTCCTTTACCCCACCTGCAGGTGAGACGCTGTGATCCTTGGTGTTCACAGGCTGGCCGACAGGAGGCTTTGTCCCCAGGCAGTGGGTGGTGGGTCTGAGTGAGGGGCATCTCAGCCCCCCTGCCCTGGACAGCTCCTTGGCACCTTTTGCAGCTCAGCCAGGCCTCTGCCATCCTCCGCTTTCCCCTAGAGGGGCATCAAGGAGTGGAGGCTGGGCACGTAAAGTGTGTGTTGCGTGGTCCTTAGTGGTCCGCACTGACTCAGCGGCGTCTAGAGGCGACCTTGGCACTGAGGAGGTGACCTCGGCTTGCTGCACGGGGAGGCTCCTGCTCACATGGGCAGAAAAGCCAGGACCTTCGACCTCCCCTGCGGCAGGAGCCCAGCACCAGTGGTTGTAGACACATTTCTGCTGCCGCCAAATGGAAGCTGGAATAACAGAGAAGGTGTTGTGTGTGTCCCAGAGATACTGCATGTTGGGGAGACTTCTGGAAATGTCAGGCTATGAATAACTTCTGTGAAAAATTAATCACGGACTAGAAGAATCTTTTTAGCCAACAGATGTAGGCTTGAATCTTATATTCTGACTTTTTTAAAAAAGGGAAAAAAATAATGTGACTTACGAATTTAGTTAAGAAAAGAGATTTGAACTCGTGAGAGGCCTGGGACGTACAGCCCCAGAGGAGCGGCAGCCCTGGGGGCGGCTGAGAGCGAGGTCGGCAGGGAGAGCCCTCGCCTAATTCAGAGCGTCTCGTTCCGTCATAGACCGTCCGTCGGGTTGGCGGCAACCGCCGGATTGGAACTGCTCCAGAGTGGTGACGAGACCTGTGCCAGGTCACGCGGCACCTTCCCGTTGAGCGGACACGTGGAGTCACGAGTGTGTCAGTGCCACTTCGAACACACACACCCCTCGGTGAGCCCACAGGAGCAGCCTCCCCTGGCTCGGTGCCCGGGGGCTCTGAGTCTGCGGCTACGCCAGCCTGCCGCCAAGCCCGTGGCCAGGAGGCTCGCAAAGGGGCTGGGGACGACGCAGCCAAGGGAGACCTGGCCTGACGGGCTGGGAGCACCAGCACCAAGGACTGGGCCACTGAGAGGGGAGGTGTCCTCAGTGCCACTCTGTGGGCCCTGAAGTCTTCGCCCAGGAATGTCCAAGGAAGTCGAGCCTGACACCCCTCCCTGTTGGCAAGGTGTCCCCAGGCCGGGGTATGTGTGCCTCACCCGTGAGGGCTTGTGAAGGATGCTTTGAATTCCTCCTCCCCGAACACACACCTTACCTGTGGGGCCTCACCTGCTGCCTGCACCTTTGAGTCAGCCCCGCCTCCCTCTGCCGTCTACAGAGCAGATGTGACCTGCCTCTCTGCCTTGAGCCTGGCAAGCTTGTGTTGTCCCAGCCACTTCCCGTGCCACCTTCCGCTGCAGTCCTGTGTCCCATAGACGTGGCTGCCCTGTGGGGACCAGGTGCCGGTTGGTGCTGCAGAGTCTGGCTCAGAGCCTGGCACAGGCTGGTTCTGGGAAATCCATTGATGAGTGGGACAAAGAAGGCTGGTTCCTGGTGTGTTGGTCCTGGGGATCATATGTCATTTCCTGTTGTCAGTAAGGTCAGTGCAACGGGTGTGGTTGTATGAGGCTTTTGTGTTTGGGATAACTTTTTAGAAAGTGAAATAGAGCATGGGCCATAATGATACTGGGTGCTTGGCTTAGTAATCCAGCTGGAGAGCCTATGCTAGGAAATAACTTCTCAGAGGAAAAGTGTGCACACAAAATGGCTGTGGCACCATTTTATAAAGTAAGGGGTTACTGAGGACAGCAGGAGGGCTGTCGGGGGAAAGGCCCGGCAGCCGGCTGTGTCGCCCGGTGGGGCTCGGGGCGGGCGAGCCGGCTGCAGTGCGGCGTGGGAGTCTGGGAACAGTTGGCCACTGTGGCCTGGGCGTTTGTCTCCCCCAGTTCATGTGCCAAAATCCTCACCCCCAGTGTGGTGGTGCCAGGAAGCAGGGCCTTGGCAGGTGACCAGGCCACGAGGTGGTGCCCTCTTGCTGGGATTAGTGCCCTTAAAAGAGAGGCCCCAGAGGGCACCGTCCTCCTCCCACTGTGTGTGGACACAGCGAGAAGCCCCATCAGCAAAAGTGGGCCCTCGCCATGTGCCGTGTCTGCTGCCACCTTGATCTTGGACTTCCAGCCTCCAGAGCTGAAAGAAATAAATTTCTGCTGTTTCTAAGCCACCCAGTCCACGGTGCTTTTGCTATAACAGCCCGAATGGATGAAGACGTCCACTCTTAAGTAAAAACTGTTAATATCAAGATGTACGTACGCTGATTGTAACCTCCAAAAAACATGTCTGTCAACAACACAGTCCTGGAAACATAAACTTGACTAGTTGGGGTGCTGGGCATTGGATGCAGGTTCTTATTACTTCGGTTATGGGCTTTCAAACAAGCCCTTGGATCTTTCTAGAGCCCTGGTTGGAACAGGTCTAAGCCCAGGGGTGGTGTGGGACTCGGGTCTGTGCCCTTCCTTCCCACGCCTCCCACCCTCAGAGCTCTGGGTTGTGGCGGAACCTGGGTAGCATTTGCTGTCATTGCTCTGGGGCTGTTTGTAAATTGGAAGGCAGGCGGCTGCTTTCTAGGCATCTTTTCTGTCCCTGTGTCTGTCCTCGTGCTCCTGGCCTGGACTTTAGAGGAGAAGCAGCACCGGGGCTTCTGGAGACCCCGCCTGCTGTCCCGCCACTCCTCTGACATATGGCAAGGTCTGGCTTGTGACACCGTGTTTGTCTCTTCCATGTTGAAGGGCTTAGAAGGGGAGATGCGGGAATCCCCTTTGAAGAAGTCCTGGAGAAGGCTAAGGCCGGCGACTCGAAGGCGCAGACGGAGGTGAGGGTGCGGTGTCAGCAGGAAACTCAGGACTGGCCCCAGGCACGGCGGGCCTGGCAGGAGCTCTGCGGCCCACAGAAAAGTCAGTGCCTGGGAGCAGAGATGGGAGCGTTGTGTGGCCACAGTGCACCGAGCTCCGTGTTGGGTCCCGTGTTCGCTCTGTTGCTTCTTCTCCCTGCAGCCCTGGGGGAAGCAGTGCTCATCCCTTGCTCAGCTCACACCTCGTCTTGGGCATTACCTCCTCTTGGTCACCCACCCTGCTTCCTGCCTGTCCTCCCCATGTCTGGCTTGCTCGGTGCACACACCCCTGCCACTGTGTATGCTGCACACTCCTGTCTCCCTGGGTGTCCATTCACCTGGGCATTAGCTCTGTGCACAGGGCCCCAGGGCAGGGACTGTTCACCTGGGTGTCTGCCAGGGCCCAGGGTTTGTGCCAGTGCTGGGATGCAATGCTGAGCCACACAGACGTGAGCCTTGTCCTCACAGGGTGACAGGTTAGGGGAAGAGGCAGACAGCACCAGGTAAACAGACACATAAATGAAATGATGCTAAATTATGTTAAGGAGAGAAACTCACAGGATACCGAGCCGGGAGGTGGCAGGGGGCCTGTTGCCTTCTGTGGGGACCATCCCAGCCGAGGGCTGACCCTGCACGCCTGGGCAGACAGAAGAGTCAAGGGCAGAGGCCTAGGCAGGGGGCCCTCGGTGGGTTTCTGGAACCCAAGTGCATGGGAGGAGGGAGGGATGGATGTTGACCTCAGCACAGTCATCATCGTGTCACCGTTAGTGTGTCTTTGAGGCAATAATTACTATGCCCACTTTTGGGATGAAACTAAGGCTGGCCCCTGGCACTGCCTTCCAGCCGTGTCAGTGTGCAGAGCTGTTGCTGCTTTCTCAGCTTATAGCCTAGAGTACCAGAGGGGGTGGGGGGACCCCAGAGTCCAGCCCCCCGATGTGGCACATGGGGAACCTGAGGCCCAGGAGGAGGAAGGGGTGAGCTCCAGACAGCAGTGTTGTGCCTGGTGCCTCCGCGTCCCACCTCTGCTTGCACTGCAGGGCCAGCCTGGGGAGGTGACCATGCCCCTGTCCAGGGGCTCAGAGGCTGTATAGATAGGTCCTGAGCAGCTGTTTCTCACTGCCTCACTCTGTCCTTTTGTATAAGTGGCTCAAGCAGGTGACCACAGTCATCTGGAGCAATTTCCTGCCCTCCCTTTTTCCTAAGGAGGGGGAAGGTTTCCTATAAGACCATAAATTAAAAGTTTCTTTTTCCTACCTTATGGCCATATTGTACTTTAAAGTTCCTTCTACAGCCTGTTGCCCAGGCATTCAGAGGTTGGAGCACAGCCCTTCTGTGGGTTCTGTCTTTCCTCTGGGCCTCACTTTTTCCATCTGTAGAACGAGAGGATTGGACCATGTCAGCAAGTGTTTTTTTGCAAAGGGCCAGGTGGTGCATATTTGGACTCTAGGTTGTCTCTGCTGTAGCTACTTCCATCCACTGGCAGTATGCCTCAGCAACTGGTGGGCGGAGCCGCTGAAGGGAGAAAATCAGTAGACTTTGGAGCCTGCAGTCCCCTCGTTCTGAGGAAGGGGGTGGCCACGCCTGCGCCACGGTGCTTTAAGGAAGAACAAGTGTCTGGAGGCTCAGTAGGGCCTAGCCCAATATAGATGCCCAGCGGGACCCCGTTCCTGCCCCTTTCTTCTTGGTGACACAGGGTGGGGGGTGAAAGGAGGTGGACTGGCTGGGATCAGGGGCAGGAGAGGTCTGTGAAGCTGGAGGTAGAACGGTGTCTGGCCTGCAGGTGGGGAAACACTACCTGCAGTTGGCCAACGATGCAGATGAAGAACTCAACAACTGCACTGCCGTGGACTGGCTGATCATGGCTGCGAAGCAGGGCCGGCGGGAGGCCGTCAAGCTGCTTCGCCGGTGCTTGGCGGACAGAAAAGGTAGGACTGCATGAGGCTTACTTAGAGCAGCCACCTGAGGGATGCCCTTGCTCATTGAACAATGCCACTTGCTCACTGAACAACAACAAAATATTAACAACAGGAAAGCCTAATGCTGGTGATGCTGTTGGGAAATAAGCACACTCTCTGTTTTGCTAGTGGCTCTGTCATTTTAGATACTGTTTCTAGGGCCTAACGTGGGATCTTTAACAAACTAAGCTATTTTCATTCTCTTTGGCTTGTGTTGGTGTCTCCAACACAAGAAGTTATAGCCCCTTTCTCTGCTGGGTTCTGGTCCAAACTGAGCAATAGATCCCAGAGCCATCGAGGAGGGTCAGCTTCACAGTGGTAAAGCTGGGAACTTTGGTGTGGCCTGCTGTCACAGTGGCTGATCCCCTGGAGCTGGCTCTCCATCCAGTCTGGGCAGACCAGACCCAAGGGCCCACAAAGACCTGTACAGGTGTGTTCACCGTGGAATGAAGTGGACTGACCTTTCAAAAGTGGGTGGACAGCCGGGCGTGGTGGCTCAAGCCTGTAATCCTAGCACTCTGGGAGGCCGAGGCGGGCGGATTGCTCGAGGTCAGGAGTTCGAAACCAGCCTGAGCAAGAGCGAGACCCCGTCTCTACTATAAATAGAAAGAAACTAATTGGCCAACTAATATATATAGAAAAAAAAATTAGCCGGGCATAGTGGCGCATGCCTATAGTCTCAGCTACTCGGGAGGCTGAGACAGAAGGATTGCTTGAGCCCAGGAGTTTGAGGTTGCTGTGAGCTAGGGTAACACCACGGCACTCACTCTAGCCTAGGCAACAAAGCAAGACTCTGTCTAAAAAAAAAAAAAAAAAAAGAAAAACAAAAGTGGGTGGAGGAAGAAAAGGGAGTGGGTGACTAAGGGCAGGGGACAGGGTGGTGGGGGGATGCAGCCCGGGCCACATGCAGTCAGTTATGACATCATCCTGCCCAAAGGGAGTGGCTCGTCCCTGGGGCCAAGGAGCACTGTGCTTCCTTAAGGTTTCAAGCCTCAGGGAAAGATGAAAGTGCTTGTTACCCAGGTATGTTTTTTTTAAATGATATATATCTTTTCAGATTATAATAGTCTTTTATGCTTATCATAGAAAACTTGGAATATATAGAAAACATAAAAATACAAATTACTCATAATCTTGAAAGCCAGAGAAGAGCTCTCCATATTTTGGTATATTTCCTGCTGGTTTTGTATCGTAATATTTTAGGAGTTACATTCATTACATGGAATCTTCTTTCTCTGAAAATTATACTGATGTTTTTGAAGAAAGAGAACAGTTGTATTCTATCAGCCAGAATTCCCCCAGCCAGCCGCACGGCTCCGCGGCAGGTAGAGTGGCGTGGCGCTGGCTGGAGCGGCCCTCCCAGCTGGAGTTGGGAGCCAGCGGTTCCCAGAGGTGCCAGGCAGACGGCCCGAGAGTACAAGGGGGAAGGCAGGGCAGCCCTCAGGCCCTCACATGCTCCTCACAGCCCCACACTCTTAAGTCGAGCGCTTTCTGATCAAACAAGTAATATTAAGCTCATATGGAAAATTAGGGAAGATGTTGAAAGGAGAAAAACATCCAGTCCTCCGTGCCAGGCCTTAACTGCCTTCTGGGGTGAGCTGTGCTGACGCCTCAGGCCTTGGGAGCTGAAGCCAGGAAGGTGGCTGCAGGCCTGCCTGAGACCCTGCTCCCCTCTCCCCCCGTGGCCAGTCTCCGTGTGGCGGGCCCAAGCCCCTGGAGCGCGGGAGGCACAGGGACAGCCCTGCCACTGCACTGGGTGGTCACTGCAGTGAGACTGGGCCAGGTGCAGATAGCACAGCCTCTTTCTGCCTCTGGCCCCGGTGAGCCAGTCCACCACCGTGCCCCAGTGTCTGCACCTGCACGCTGGGGGTGGCCGCAGCTCCTGTGAGGGTCCCATGGGGATGAAAGGGGAAGGAGCAGAAGAGACAGCAAGTCTCGCACACGTTGCACTCAGTGGACGCACGGGCGCCTGCTGCAAGGCCAGCTGGGCCTCCAGCCTGAGGTGTGGGCACCGGCAGGGGCTTTGCACAGAGGTCCTGTTGGGTCAAATGTCCATCCTACCCTGGCAACGAAAGGGCCTGACAGACCTCTCATCAGTTGCCCTCCCAAGTCCTTCCAGGCAGAGCTGGCTGGGACGGGGAGCAGCACTGATGGCAGCAGGCGGGGGGCGGGGCCCTTACCGCCCCTGTCTGGCAGGCATCACGTCTGAGAACGAGCAGGAAGTGCGGCAGCTTTCGTCCGAGACTGACCTGGAGAGGGCCGTGCGCAAGGCGGCCCTGGTCATGTACTGGAAGCTCAACCCCAAGAAGAAGAAGCAGGTGGCCGTGTCAGAGCTGCTGGAGAACGTTGGTCAGGTCAACGAGCACGGTACGCAGCCTCGTCTCGGTGCACGCCATCCCATGGGTCCCAGGGCCTCGCGTGATGACCAGGCCCTTCCCACAGGGACTGGGCCCCTGCAGGGAGCTGGGCGGTTGTCACTGACAGTAGGGCGGCATCAGCCTGGCCCAGGTGCTCATTCACTGAAGAAACCGAAGAGGGTGGTGTGCCCATTGCCCTGACCACACCCGCAGATGGACGGGCTGTGTCCGTCACTGAGTGGGGGCAGCCAGCGGGCACTGCATCCAGCGTAGTGGCTGGAGGCACAGAGGTGTGGCCTCGCACTGCCGAGGGATGCAGTGGAGGCCCCAGGCCTGTGGCCCCCAGAACTCAGGACGCCCTAGGAGCCTACAGTCCAGTTTTTGGTGGGTTGCAGGGCAGAATGAGGGCATGATCAGCGTGTTGACTCTCAGTCTACCCTGTCCCCTGCAGATGGAGGGGCGCAGCCAGGCCCTGTCCCCAAGTGCCTGCAGAAACAGAGGCGGATGCTGGAGCGCCTGGTCAGCAGCGAGTGTGAGTCCAGCCCCACCCCCACCCGCCACCCACGCAGTGTCTGCTCCTTCCTGTGTGTCCCAGGCCTGCGTCTCGCCAGGGTCTCAGTGCATCTGGGTGTCGGTGTTCTGCGTGCTGGGGTCTGGGCTTGGCCTGCTGGGAGTGCACATACAGGAGGGGAAGACAGACATGGGAGACCACAGGGTGACAGTCCCTGCTGGGCAGAGAAATGCTGGGGAGGGGCACTGGCTCCCTGGATGGCAAGGGGAGGAGCTGCAGGTGGAGGGAATGGCAGGAGCACAGCCATGGGTTTTTGTGGGCAGGGGTTGGAAGGGCGGAGCATGTGTCAGGGGGACAGAGGCTTGGGGCACAATGAACTGGGGGCCTTTGGGATGTCTGGGGTCAAAAAATTAGAGGAGACTTTCACACCCTCCATGTGCAGCTGCCAGCCTGAGCATCGCTCGCCCATGTGGGGTGTGCAGTGGTCTAGGGGACTCTGGGCCCCCATCCCAAAGAGAACGGGGGTGGGGGGGACTCAGGGATCACTCAGCATTAACAGGGGAGCTGTGGCAAAGACCAGGCCTGCCACGGACTCTTCTTGTGACCTTGAGCAGGTCTTGTTTTTGTCTCTGGGCCTCAGTTTCCCCTTCTAAACAGTGAGCTGGTCAGATCAGAGGACCAAAGGACCCCACCCGTCCCAGGAGCTGCTGTGGTAGGGCGGGGGAGATGCGGGAGGGCACTGCATCCAGGTAGGGACACAGACCCCACCTTCCTCTGGGCCGAGGAGGAAGCCCTCAGAGTGTCACAGCACAGTCAAACTTCGAGTCCGAGTGGGCAGGCGGGGTGTGTGGGCTGCTGCTTTCTTGCTCCACTTGGGGAGCAAGAAACAGGTTGCGCTGATGTGGAACGGGCTCTGTGGCTGACGGGCCAGAGGGACGGGGAGGCTGAAATAGCCTGAGGCGAAGGCGTCTCCTGTCCTGGGGCCACTTGGAGGCTGGGCTTGGATCCCAGCCCCGAGGGGCGTGTGATGAGCCAGGTCACAGCTCTGCGGGGCCAGGGCCGTGGCAGGGCCGTGGCAGGGCCAGCGCTCAAGCCGTGGCTCCAGCACCCCAGTCGGTCCCCTGATGGGGGCGTTTCCATCGCTGTCACTGTGTCCCTGGCCTTGCCATCAGTGAATGCCGGGAAGGGCCGTCTGTGTCACCCCTCAGAGTCTCTCTTCCCTCAATCGCTTGGGCTCCCCTGCCCTCCCACTGCACGGCCTGACCAAGCCACCGGTGACCTCCTTGCCAGGCCACCATTCCTCCTTAAAGCCCTCTCTACCTGGCCTGCAGGCTCCCTGGCCCAGGGCCCTTGCTGTCATGCTGGCTGCTCTTCCTCGGTGTCCTGAGACCAGTTTCCTGTCTCCTCACCCTCTGGACGTGGGTGCCGCCCCAGGGACACATCCACACTTGCTGCCTTGTGACCAGTCCTCTGTGTCTGGTGCCAGCTACAAGACCTGAGCACACAGCCCCGCCCAGGCCTCCCCCAACACCTGCCACCCAAGTGGGCCCCAAGGCTCTGTGCCTGTCTGTGGGCACTGCGTACTGCATGCACCTAGCCCGGTCCCTCGGGAGGTCCCGTCAGCTCCATGTGCTCCCCTTCATCACCGCCACCGCCGTGAACCCAGCCTGTGGCCTCTCCCAGGGTTTCTGCCGCACTCCCTGCTGGTGTCCCTCTGCCCCGCCCCCACCCCCACAGCCTTCCCACAGAGGCCCTCTGGGACAGCCTCTTGCCATGGATCGTGTTGGGTGGAAGAGTTAGTGGGCGTATAGTAGGCCCTCGGCGGATCATGTTGGGTGGAGGGGTTAGCAGGTGGCTGGCCAGCAGGGCAGCTTGTCGCCAGGGCTATCTCGAGGGAGAGATGGGTGTCAGCAAGCGCTGGAGGTGCAGGCTGTTGAAGGCTCGGCAGGGGGGCTGGGCTAAGGTGCAGGTGGGCTCTAGGTGACAGTAGCCAGGGAGGGAGGGGCGCTGGAGGTGGGGCCCCAGGGCTGGGGATGCGGGGAGAGGCTGGAGCCTGGCAGACCTGCCCCTTCCCTCCCCGCCAGCCTGGTTCCCTCCATCAGGCTACCCAGGGCAGGTTTCCTCCACCTGAACTCACTCAGCTTCTCCTTAGCTTGGTCTGAACCCACTCCCCACTCCATCCATCCATGTGGTGGTGACAGGGGGCTCGCAGCTTGGGGGAACCCCACGCTGTTTCTCTTGTGCTTCAGCCAAGAACTACGTCGCACTGGACGACTTTGTGGAGATCACCAAGAAGTATGCTAAGGGCATCATCCCCACCAACCTGTTCCTGCAGGACGACGATGACGACGAGCTGGCAGGGAAGAGCCCCGAGGACCTGCCGCTGCGCCTGAGGGTGAGTGGGTGAGACCCCAGCGCCAGCCCTCGCCTCCCGGATGCACACACCTGTCCCCGCCAAGCACCCCTGGGGCTTTCCTGGAAGCTGTGGGTGGGAAGGTCCTTGCCTAAGAGAGCATCTTGGACTGTGCCTCTTGTCCCTCGAGGCGTCCTCTGTCCCCATGTAAGGACACGTCCTCAGGAAGGGGGCCTTTCTTACAGTCAGGCCCAGAAACCTGGGGTGCTGAGCACTGGGCCCTCTGATCTTCCCACGAGAGCAGCGTGGGAGTCAGGCTGGGAGGATCAGAGGCAGACTTTGATTTGGACTTTGTCACTTAGAAAAATTACCTGTTTATGGCCCAGAGTGGAGGTCAGTGCCTCAAAGAAACCTTCACCCCAAACAGAGTGCTTGGTGTCCTTTAGGCCTGGGAGGACATGTGGAGGCGCCTGCTGCCCCCAGTCTGTGAGGGCGCAGCGAGAGAGGCCAAGTGTGGGGAGGTGGCAGGCAGCACCTGGAGGACATGAGTAGCCGTGAGGTCGGGAGTGAGGCAGGAGCAGAATGCCCAGGGCACAGACCCTGCCCCAGGCCCGCCAGCTTGTCTTCTTGGCCGTGCGGCTGGGCTGCAGGTGCAGACACGTGATGTGGCCCCACAGCCTCTCACAAGTTCCCAGCTCAGCTCAGCTGGAGGAATTTTGCGTCTCTGTCTCACTCTGGAGAACACCAAGATTTTCAGAGGTTCGGCCGCCCGACCCAGACAGGTGCGGCAGCACACTGTGGCCAAGAAGGCTGAGGCCAGTGCAGGGGCCCTAGCACACAGCTGTCACGCCGCCTGTGCGTTAGTCGTGCAGGCGTCCCATGGCCTCTGCTTTCTTAACTCACCGAGGCCCTGGAGGAATTGGAGTCAGTGTCTGATGGGGCGCGTGAGTCAGGGTTGGGACAGTCGGCTGAGAGGGCACCGTGCCAGAGCCGGGAGTGTGGAGAGGGGCAAGGCAGGCCGCACTGCCGTGGGCAGGGCAGGAACCAAAGTGCTTCGGGAAGGGCTGCAGCCCGGAGCAGCAGGCGTGACGCCGCGCGCCGGGACTCGGAGCCTGGCCGAGGACCAAAACTGAGTTCCCCAGAGCAAAAGTGGAAAGCCTCGCCTTCCCCCTGGGGACAGCCGTGTCCAGGGTGAGAAACTGGCCTTGTCGTGGGGTTCTGAGACGCAAGCCGGGAAGGCCAAGAATTTGCAGCCAGGAAGCTGGTGGACGCCACCGATGGTCCCTTCTGAGCTGGCCCTGGCAGGCGCGCCCACAGACAGGTGCCGCCGTCTCCTCGCCAGCTCGAGGGAAGGGAGCTGCAGCCTTGCCATGGCTGTCAGCAGAGAGGAGGCGCCCCCGCTTGCCAGTGAGGCCGAAGGTGAAAGGGTAGTGGTAGAAGACCCTTGGGCACGAGGCCGTGGCCCCGGTGTCGCCTCACACCCCGGCGCTCGTACTCTTTCTGCCTCCTTCAGGCGCACCCTGCGTGGAGGGAAAGTCCGTGTCACCCACTGACGGGCGAGGAGCTCAGCGCCGTGAAATACCTGAAAGCCCTTTTTAGAAGGGCGAGACTTAAAGTATTATGACAAGAAACAAACAAGGCTCTGTTTCAGTCTTTGAAGCTGTCAGAGCACTCTGATCCATTTTGCAATTCATCTCATGAAAAGACTTTTGCAAAAGGGAGATAAAGAATCATCAGAAGCGTCTCCCAAGCGGAAAGCCGTTTCAGCTTGTAATAGCCCCGAGATCAAAGAACAGGGAACACACTTCTGAGAGGTCTCTTCACCCAAGTGAAGAACGGCAGACGCCTCTTAGCGAGCTGACATTACACCCACAGAGAATGTTCTAGACTGCAGGCAGTTCTCTTCTCAAGCCTGAAGTACAGGTGCCTTGACAGCTAAAACCCTCTGAGAAATAAATTCAGTAATGTTTTAAAATCCTGATGTTTTTTACATTAAACTATTGGAAAATGGAACGTGAGCATTTTGCAAACAGGTTTGGGAGCATCTTGCTTAGGTCTCCGGCCCCGGTGGTGGCTGCCACAGGCCCTGCATCACGGCCCACGGTGACACTGTTCCCGGTCTCCTGTGGCGGCAGGGGTGGTCACCTCCGGCCCAGACAGACTGCTCTTCACTGTTCTATTTGTGGAGCCAGGTTCCTTATTGAGATTCTTTTAATTTCATTTTTCTTCTATCTCAAAGAAGAGTTTATTTTAATTTGTTGGACATTCTCTGCAGGAAAGGGGACAAAGCCTTATAGTCCCACAGATCAGTGCAGGGCTTGGGTGGAAGCCACAGGATGCAGAGATTGGGCCCTTACAAAGGAGACCGTTTCCTGGCCGCCCAGCCCAGGTGTGGGGCCGGCCCCACTCTGTCCAGCAGGCTGGATGCCATTGGGCATCATGTTCTAGAAGCTTTCTTCTTTTAAAGGAAGCTTTCTTCCATCTTTTAATCAGATGATTATGTGGCCCCACAGTCAAAATGGCGCACAGCTCTGAGTCAGACAGGATTTTAGACAACTTGAACAGCAGGCCGGGCGCACGTCTGGTTGTCCTGCCGTTAGCAAGGCCCCTGCCACAGGGATTGACCGAGGGGGCGGTGCTGACGCGCACTAACTCACTCCGTAGCCGTGGGTCTCAGCCGTCTGACCTGGCGTCAGGGCCAAGGCGCTCCCCCCAGAAACGCTGGAGGAGTTCGTTCTCATCAACACCCCGCAGCGTGCGCAGCTCTGCTTGTGGAGGCTGGTGGCCCCAGAGAGAGCTGGGGCACCGTTAGCTGGTCCAGTCGTCTGTTTGCTGGTTATGAAGCAGGGATTAAGTGGATTGCATGCAAGAAGCAGCGAAGCTCTTCAGCCACACGTGTGTGGAGACATGTGCATGTACACTCATCCCTAAACATCTTGGTCTTCATGAGCCCAGCCCCTCTCATCTCCAGAAAACCCAGTCCTCCAGCTGCTTTCAGGGATTCTAGGCGTCTCAATTGGTGGCCAGGGCTCTTGGCAGGTGAGGCCACATTCTGGTGCACCCGGCTACCGTTCACCTGAAATTCCTCCTGGCCCTCTGTTGGGTGGAGGGAGCCTGCCCAAGGGATGGGAGAGGCCGCTGCCCCTGGCCCTGCACTGATAGGGTGTCCGGCTGCCACTTCCTGTGCCTCAATGCTCAAGCCGGCTCTGTCACATAGCCCCTCGGTGGGCTCCAGGTGCACAAGGCCTCCGCTTGGAGGGTCAGCCCTTCCAGGCTCCTGACCCTCTGAAGACACAGCCCTGCACTGCACAGCACACTGCATGACAACTGGCACCTTCCACCGCTGCTTTCTTATCTCACCCCTCCAGTCTCCCCATCTCCCCCTTGCCCTGGCAGGGCCAAGGGTCCCCAGAGTTCTGCACAGACCATGCGGACCTGGGTGCTGCCCTGGATGCAGAATCGCCACCTCCTTCCTAGGCTGCTTCCCTCTTGCTCTGTGCAGTCCCTCGTCCCCCTTTGCCATGGTAATGACCTTTGCTTAGCCTATAGAGTGGGCAGGGGGACTCACAGGTGGGGAGGGGAGGGCTGCCTTTGAACGCAGCTGTGTGGGGTTGTGTGTCTATTGTAAGTAGTATGGGGGACGTGTGCTTGTGTGTATGTGCATGCATGTAGGGTGTGTGTGTGTGTGTGTGTGTGTGTGTGTGTGTGTGGGATGGGTGTGCCTGTGAGCGTGCATGTGCATGTAGCAATGGGCGGTGGTGGGTAGCTGCTTCTCGTCTCTAGTGAAAGCTGCTCATCCAGCTGCCCTGTTTGGAGAAGCCAAAGCATCCCTCACTCTGTCCATGTTTGCACTGAACTCTTCCTTCAGTGCTTGCTCTGCCTCCCCTGCTGGGACTGCTCACAGCTGCCCCTCTTTGAGTCCAGCCTAGTCTTGTGCAGTGATGGTCACCAGGGAGGTGACATCCTTGCTGCGGTGGACAGCTGAGATGCAAAGCCGGCTCCCAGACAGGCAGCCTGGGGTTCTGCTGTCTCTTCAAGCAAGAGGCCCTGAGGGGAGGGAAGCGGGAAGCTGGGGGGTCCCTCCAGGTGCTGGAGGCAAGCACATGTGAGCCTGGTCACCCTGGCAGAAGGTGGGGAGCCAGGCATGGGGAGGGGTCAGGAAGGTCCCCGGCCCAGAAGTGGGTGGGCTGACCTGCAGTGTGGGGTAGATTGAGGGAAGGACTGTAAGGACTGCAGAGCATGGGGAGGGCCACCTGGGGAAGGGTGTGACAAGTGGATCACTGGGACTAGGCTGGCACTGGGGGGACACAGGGGTAGGTCCATGTTCCCCAGAGCCAGGGTGGCTGGAGGGAGGCGTGTGGCAGGGGGTGGCAGCTGAACACGACTGGGTGCAGTTTGTCCCAGCCTGGTTCCAATGCAATCTGCACCCTGCAGGTGGTCAAGTACCCCCTGCACGCCATCATGGAGGTCAAAGAGTACCTGATCGACGTGGCCTCCCGAGCGGGCATGCACTGGCTGTCTACTATTGTCCCCACGCACCACATCAACGCCCTCATCTTCTTCTTCATCATCAGCAACCTGACCATCGACTTCTTCGCCTTCTTCATCCCGCTGGTGGTCTTCTACTTGTCCTTCATCTCCATGGTGATCTGTACCCTCAAGGTCTTCCAGGACAGCAAGGCCTGGGAGAACTTCCGCACCCTCACGGACCTGCTGCTGCGCTTCGAGCCCAACCTGGACGTGGAGCAGGCCGAGGTCAACTTTGGCTGGAACCACCTGGAGCCCTATGCCCACTTCCTGCTGTCTGTCTTCTTCGTCATCTTCTCCTTCCCCCTGGCCAGCAAGGACTGCATCCCCTGCTCGGAGCTGGCCGTCATCGCCACCTTCTTCACCGTGACCAGCTACCTGAGCCTGAGCACCCACGCAGAGCCCTACACCCGCAGGGCCCTGGTCACCGAGGTGGCTGCCGGCCTGCTGTCCCTGCTGCCCTCAGTGCCCCTGGACGGGCACTATCTGAAGGTCCTTGGCCAGACCTTCCTCACTGTGCCCGTCGGCCACCTGGTCGTCCTAAACATCAGCGTCCCCTGCCTGCTGTATGTCTACCTGCTCTACCTCTTCTTCCGCATGGCCCAGCTGCGGAACTTCAAGGGCACCTACTGCTACCTGGTGCCCTACCTGGTCTGCTTCATGTGGTGCGAGCTCTCCGTGGTCATCCTGCTGGAGTCCACTGCGCTAGGGCTGGTCCGAGCATCCATCGGCTACTTCCTCTTCCTCTTTGCCCTGCCCATCCTGGTGGCCGGCCTGACCCTTGTGGGCGTGCTGCAGTTCGCCCGGTGGTTCGTGTCCCTGGAGCTCACCAAGATCGCAGTCACCATGGCCGTCTGCAGCGTCCCCCTGCTGATCCGCTGGTGGACCAAGGCCAACTTCTCGGTGGTGGGGATGGTGAAGTCCCTGACGCGGAGCTCCATCGTCAAGCTGATCCTGGTGTGGCTCACGGCCATTGTGCTCTTTTGCTGGTTCTACGTGTACCGCTCGGAGGGCATGAAGGTCTACAACTCCACGCTGACCTGGCAGCAGTACGGCGCCCTGTGCGGGCCGCGGGCCTGGAAGGAGACCAACATGGCCCGCACCCAGATCCTCTGCAGCCACCTGGAGGGCCACAGGGTCACATGGACGGGCCGCTTCAAGTATGTCCGGGTGACTGAAATCGACAACAGCGCTGAGTCGGCCATCAACATGCTGCCCTTCTTCATTGGCGACTGGATGCGCTGCCTCTACGGCGAGGCCTACCCCGTCTGCAGCCCTGGCAACGCCTCCACGGCGGAGGAGGAGCTGTGCCGCCTCAAGCTCCTGGCCAAGCACCCCTGCCACATCAAGAGGTTTGACCGCTACAAGTTCGAGATCACCGTGGGCATGCCCTACAGCAGTGCTGCCAACAGCAGCCGCAGCCGGGAGGAAGATGACGTCACCAAGGACATCGTGCTGCGGGCCAGCAGCGAATTCAAGAGCGTGCTGCTCAACCTGCGCCAGGGCAGCCTCATCGAGTTCAGCACCATCCTCGAGGGCCGCCTGGGTAGCAAGTGGCCCGTCTTCGAGCTCAAGGCCATCAGCTGTCTCAACTGCATGGCCCAGCTCTCACCAGCCAAGCGGCACGTGAAAATTGAGCACGACTGGCGCAGCACTGTGCATGGTGCCATCAAGTTCGCTTTCGATTTCTTCTTCTTTCCGTTCCTGTCTGCAGTGTGAGGACGCACCTGCTGGCCAGAGGGGGTTGTCCCAGTGCATGTTGCTGTGAGGACTTCCCCAGTGTGGCCCCAGCCAGTGGGAGCACGCTAATGCTGTGTGTGTGTGCTCGCGTGTGCAGACCCAGGGCTTCGGAGACCTTTGCTCGTGTGTAGACTGCTCGGACCCCACCAGTGAAGGGTGACACTGTTTAGCTGTCCACTCTGGACACCAGGCGTGGCTGGGAAGTGCATGCAGTCTCCACCCCAACCCCGACCTTTCCGAGCGAAGCAGGTGTGCCAGGCTAGGCTAGAAAGATTCCTGTGTCCCAAAAAGCACTTTACAGACAAGCTTCTCCCTCCTCCCCACCACCTCTGAGCACTCTGCTGTCCCTCTTTACTCCTGTGTTGGATTGGGGTTTTTTTAAGAACCAAATATGCATCTGTGTAAACTGCACGGCAGCATTTATTTTTTTGGTCACTGCTAAGCCTTGACAACTGTTGGCCTTTCCCGGGGGATGTGCACAGCTGCCCGAGCCTGTGACGTGGTCCAGGGCTGGCCCCATCCTGCCCGTTGGAGGCTGGGTGACGGACTCTGGGTGCATCGACGACTTCTGTCCTGTCTGCAGTGTGAGGACGCACCTGCTGGCCGGAGGGGTCGTCTCTGGGTGCTGAGAGTGCGTCCGAGCTGAGCTCTGGCACCCCGGCCATCTTGGGGCCTCCTGTGCTGCGTGCAGGGTGCGTTTGTGAGGGCCTTGCCCGAGCCCACCAGGGCTCGGGCAACAACCCTGGGCGTCTCTCCAGCGCCCAGAGGAGCCTACGTGTTCCGTGCCACAGAGCAGAAAGCCAGGCTCCTAAAGTGGCCGAAATAAAAGCCTCTGGTGAAATCTACAGTTCTTTTATTTATTTAAAAGAAGGCTTTCTTGTACATGCATGAGAATCAATGCTGTCTACACACAGTTGAATGAAATGCAAGTATAGTGTGAGCCACAGAAGAGCGGGACTGCCGTTCGCATAGCTGGCCCTGCGAGGGCAGAGCCTGCCTCCGTCTCCAGCTCGAGGGGCCTGTGGTGCCTGCCCTCACCGTTGGGCTGCCTGTGCCAACACATCTGTGCTGCAGGTGACCACGGACAGTCAGCCCCACTGTAGACTCAGATCTTACTGGATGGGAAGGACATAGTCACAATTTTTGAAATTCTAATCACTAATGAAACGGACCATCGTGGTGATCCATAGCTGGGGGCTGCCACGGGGTACAGAAACGTGTTTATGAAGCCGTGTCCTGCATTCAGTCAGAGCGTACGGTGGTGACCCTATAGACTTACAATTAGAACTTGTTTTGGGGGGAGCTGGAGCAGCTGGGGGCACCTGAGCAGACTTCGCCTCTCGGGGGCATGTGTGTCCACCATAGGCGCTCAGCTCTTCAATTTCTTCCCTGGGGTGAGGATAAGGCCCACCCCCCCCCCTGCTGGCTGCCCCACAGTGGGTCCCATTTTTCTGCTGTGGTTGGGAAACTAGGGTTGTCACACACTGCTGCAGTTGGCCACCTTGCCTTGACCATTCAACATGTGGCTGTCTCCATTTTCCTCGGACGTCATTCACAGCACCTGGTGGGTGGCAGCTGCACCCCGCCCTGTTCACTCATCCTGGTTTACCCCTCTGCCTGGGGGGTCTGTGTGAAGTCCCATGTGCTGGGTGCCAGGAGATGTCATCACTCTGTGCTGTGTGTTTGCTCCTGGGTTTCTTTCCCAGGCAACAAGATGAGGTTAAAGTTCAGCCCGATGCCCTCTCCCTGTCCTGTAGACCTGAGGCCATGAATGGTGGTCACCACTGGACTCTCCCCCGCCCTCGGCCCTGGGCTCCTCACTGATCGTCCAGAGAGGAGGGAGGCGCCTGACAGCTTCGTCCAGAGGAGGAAACAGGTCCGGAGCGGTGCCCGTTAGCATCAGGGCCAGGGTGGGCCACCACGTTGCTACTCTGCCCCCTGAGCTCTCGTGTTGCAGTCTCATGGGGAGAGGCCTGGACTGAGCATGGGGGCCAGCCTCTAAATCTCATTCTGCCACACACCCCTGCCTGACAGGAACCGTTCAGCACCCGTCCCCACGCCTCAGTGCAGTGGGAAGTCTGGGCTGGGTCAGTGGTTTTCAAAACTTGTTAGCAGTGTCACCTTTTTAAAGAAACGAAACGTATAGAGCTGCGGTCTGTTGGAGAAAAGGGCTGTTAAGTGCAGCGTACACAGATGAGGAGTCCAGCTGCCTGGATCTGAATCTGCCACTTCTGTGCCTTCCCAGCTCTGTAACCTAGGGCAAGTCCCCACTTTCCAGGCCTCAGCTTCCTCACCTGTAAAATGGGGGTATAATAGCTACCTCATCGGTTGTTTTGAGGATAAATGAGGGGGTAAGAACAGTGTCTGGCACTAGTAAATGCTCAATAAACGTTTGCTAATTTTGAAAAAGCATTTGTGGAACTTAGGATCTAACTAAGAACCTTTGGTCGGTCCCTCCCCAGAAGAACTGTAAAGTCCTTGCTAGCTGTGGAAGAACTTAAACTTTGTGATGACAATCCCATTTAGGCTGGAACCGATCTCGATCAGAGTGGCTGAGTCCAAACAGGGCTGGGTGTCTTGCGCTGTGGTGTCCACTCAACCCGCTGCACCCTAGAACGCAGCGGGCCTGCCCTTCACCTGCATCAGGAATTGGAGGCTGCACGTGCAGAAAGGCTTGGCCAGCACCTGGGACTTGGCATTGGAAGCATTCCTTGTTTACCTTGACTAGTCAGCCTCAAATGCGGTCACTGCTGTCCTGGAACAAATATTTACCAAGACACTAATTCCTGTGTGAGTCAAACCAGGTCCCAGCCTCAGGAAAATCACAGCCAAGGGTGGGGTGGGGAGGTGAGACAGGACCACGGCCTAGCTCAGAGCAGACATGCTGGGGGAGCCCAGAGGAGGAGCAGATGTCTGGCCTGGGGTACCAGGGAGGAGCCAGGGGGGAACGGGGCCTGGTGGGGGGTGACGAGGATGAGGACATCTAGTATTTAAGGCCAGCTGCTGAGGAGGCATGTAAGGAATTTGGCCTTTGTCCTGTAGACTCAAACCAGGGCCCTGGGAAGGTCAGGGCTGAGCCGGGGAGGAACATGCTGGGAGCCGAGGTTCGGGGACGGCCTCTCGGCAGCTTCCACGGAGCAGTGAGTGGGGCGGTGCCCTCAGCCCTGTGCTGCTCCTGCGGCGTCCTCTCCTGGGCTCTAGGCCGCTGCCTCCCTGGTTGTGCTTCCAGGAACGACGCCAGGCCCCGCAGGGAGGGGGGATGGGCTCCTGAGCACGCATTGGGTCTGGCACTTTGTTTATGTTGGGTCATTTGGCCCTCATAGCTGGGTCCCTGGCATTTTCCAAATGAAGATTCCTAATGGCTCATGAGGTGAGCAACTTGTCCAGAGTCACATGGCTGGGAGGTGGCAGGGCTGGGATGGGACCTGTTCTTTCTCCCGGGACATGAAGAAATCAACATTTTCCCGGGTCTTACAGAGAGGCTGTTCGGGGACCTCCCAGGAAAGAACCTGCTGTCTTCGAGGACAGCCATCATTTGACACCAGGTGCTGGGCACCCTGGGCTGGGCCTTTACCCCATGGGGCTACGGGGCCGCCCAGGGAGGGTCTGCGGTACGTGTGGGAATCTCACTTTGCTTCCGTGAAGTGGCAGTGTTTGAGCGGCTCAGGGAGGACCCCGCTGAGTGGCGCCATCTCGACCCCCGGAGTGGTTTGGCGCCAGTCTCCACACCCTCTGGAAGTGCCCTTCCCAGCACCCCAGAGGGCTCTTCGCAGCCTGCACCATCCGTTTTGGGGGGTGGGTTCTCAGAGCCCACCTGCTCCGCGTGCTCTCCGCACCAGCTGTGCGGGGGCCGGGCCCCGACACGGGCTTTGCCACTTCATCCCGCACGCACCATGCGAGGACACCCCAAGTGACAGAAGCCCTCATTTCTACAGGCACCCACCATGCAGGGCCACCTGCAGACAGATCTGTAACCATCCCGCCTGCTGACCTGCAGAGTGGGGTGTCGGGATTACACAAACAGTCACCGTCCCTCTCCCAGCCCATCAGGCACTGGGAAAGCAGGCCTTGGCGGCCGGGCCTGGCTGGTGGCTGGTGCTTCCTGTCCATGCAAAGAAAATCAACACTCGTTCATTAAAGTTATCGAGGGCCTGCTGCGTGTTCTGCTTTCCCAGGACGCAGGATGCGGCAGCAGGCAGGGCGGGGCCCTCCCTGGGGGCTGTTTCTGGGAACCTGGGCCATCAGCCAGTAAGTGACTGGAGAAAAGTGCCAGGTGTCTCCCAGGAACACTCTGGACGCCCTGTCCAGACGTGAACATCAGTGGGTGCCTGCAGGACGCTGGACACGCCACAGCGTCTTCCTGTCTATCCGTCGCGAACACTCTGGATGCCCTGTCCAGACGTGAACATCAGTGGGTGCCTGCAGGACGCTGGACACGCCACAGCGTCTTCCTGTCTATCCGTCGCGGCGCTGCTGCGAGACAGGAAGGTCCATTTCAGAGAGTGCGGCTGGCAGAGCCGCAGCCCCGAACGCACCACGCCCTGACCCGAGCCCGTGTGTGTCCCCCGCATGGCAGAAGCGCCCCTGCAGATGGAGTCAGCTAACAGGCTTGCGGTGGGGAGGGGGTCCGGGCTCCCCTGTCCGTGAGCGCCCAGTGCGGTCGCCAGTGTCCTTGTCGGCGGCAGGCAGGAGGCCGGAGTGGCAGGGACCAGAAGACGCCGCACTGCTGGCCGTGAGCCGAGAAGCACAGGCCCCGCCGGGAGCTGGGAGAGGCGAGGAGATGGTCCCTGCATCCTCCAGAAGGAGCCAGCCCTGCCGGCAGCTGGATCCGAGCCCAGTGAGGCCCACGCCAGATTTCTGGCCTCTGCAACTGCTAGGAGAATACAGCTGTGTTGGTTTGAGTTGCTAAGTGTGGTCACTCCCTAGAGGAGCCACAGGGAGTGAGCACAGATGAGATGGGTGTGGGGAGGGCCGTGTTCTCCCAACACCAGACACCTCAGTGTCGATGGGGGTACGGTCCAAGCCACCCTGCCGACACGGAGCCCAAAGTTCTTTCTTTTTTTAAGAGACAGGGTGTCACTCTGCTGCCCTGGCTGGAGTGCAGTGGTGTCATTGTAGCTCACTGTAGCCTCAAACTCCTAGACTCAAGGGATTCTCCTGCCTCAGCCTCCCGAGTGGCTGGGACCACGGATGTGTGCCACCATTTCTGGCTAATTTTTAAATTTTTTGTAGAGACAGGGTCTTACTATGTTGCCCAGGCTGGTCTCGAACTTCTTCCACCTTGGCCAAAATTCGTTCTTTTCAGTTGAAGCTGGAGTGCACATTTATAGCCTGTCAACACGAGGGGCTGGAGCTGGTCTCCTGAGATGCCGTGACTGTCGTGGCAGGGGCAGGGGGCAGGGGTGGGGGCGGAGCGTCCTGGTGCAGGTGCCCGGAGAGTGGGGAGTCTCAGGGGCCTCTGACCTTTCCTGGCACTAGGGTGGGATGGGGCGTGCGTGATGTGAGAAGACGAATAGGTGAGAAAGCCTGGACAGTCATCAATTTTAGAAAGAAAAGAATATATAAGGATATTCTTAAAAGGTACTCAATCACATTTTTCTAGTAAAATGTTGGGAAGAGAAGTACCAAATAATCTTTACCTGTGTGTACACCCAACCACCCAAATTTTAAAAAGCATCCTTGGGAATTTAACTCACTGTCTTAAAAATAAAACACACCTGAACTCTCCTTTGTGTGGGATGAGGCTCCAGGAGGGTTCGGGGTCCCACACGCTGCACCTGCTGCTCACAGTGCTCTGTCTTCTTGGCCAGTTTCTGCTGTTGAACTTTTATCCCTTCAAATTCTCTGACCTAAGCCTGGACCAAAACATCCCCTTGGTTCCCTGTCACACACCTGAGCCAGGTAAGACGTTCGGCCAGGACTGGGGAAGGACGGCCAGGAACAGCGCACGAGTGTCGAGAGCCAGTCTGGTCCTCCAGAAGAAGCAGGCTCGGCCTCCCGAGCTACGGCGGTCCCACGGTGGGGCTGAGTCAGGCCTCTCCCCACACCCCCGGCGTCACACACGGCGTGCTGTCACTGCCGCAGCAGCGCCCGCCCAAGTTACCGCCACACACAGGAGACCGCAGCTCTTTCGCTGTTCCACCCTCTCCCCCCACCCCTTCCTCCTCCACGCCCCACATGGCAGAGCACGAGCCCTGGGTGGGCCCGGCTGGCTCTCCAGTCCCTGCCTCCCGACCCGGCAGCACCACCTGGTCCACCGGTCCCAGCAAGGGCCTTGCCCCCACCCGCAGCCAGCCGAGGAAAGCGCTGTGGGGCTGCCATTCCGCCGCCTCTGCCTGGGCCCACTTCTCATGCCAGGCGCGTCCGCACCTGCTCCCCTGCCCTGGGCCAGCGCTCCTGCTGCTTTTCTTTTTACTTCTGGGCTATCCCTGAGTCCCTGTTCCCTCCCGCCTCCCCCGCCCTGTTGCTCTGATGAGACAGGCCCAGGTCCCTGGCCCCGTCCTGCGTGGGCAGCACAGACGCGTCACCTCTGGTCCCCCCACGCCAGCGGAGCAGTCCCCCCCACGCCAGCCAAGCAGTCCCCAGCGGTGGCCAGCGGGGCGTCCTGCCAGGTAATTCCGTTCTGACACTGTCTGCGGCTGTGGCCTCAGCTCCCCCAGACCGAGGGCTCCGTCCCCCGGGACGCCCCGCTGTGGACGCCAGTGCAGGTGTGGAGCCCCGTGCTCCTGC